CTCTCTCTCTCTCTCTCTCTCTCTCTCTCTATCTATCTATCTATCTATCTATCTATCTATCTATCTATCTATCTATCTATCTATCTATTTATCTATCTATCTATCTATCTATCTATCTATCTATCTATTTATCTATCTATCTATCTCTACTACTCCGCTAGGTGCCTCCTCCCTTTCAATAGGGAGTTGATAGAAGGTGGTACTTCATCTGTCTTACTAGCCTGCTCTTGATTGTCCTTCGCGGGCTTGACGTAGGCTATAAAGACCTTATCTAACATTTCTTTCTTCATTACGTACTTTGAGAACGTAGGCTCGCTCATGCGAACCATCGGCAGTGAGGAGTTTTTCCCTTAGTCATGGAAAAATTGGGCTCTACCGTCACTAGTTGGAAGCCAACGCTTTGCGTCTTGCAGCATCTTTCATTCCTCCTCCCAAAACTTTTCTTAATTACAGTTAACCAAGGGTTTGTTAAACTTTGTTGGGTTTCTCCTTACCCCTGGTCTTGGGGCTTCCCAACGTCATCTGCCCAAGCTCCTGGATCACTTGGGCAGATGATGTCAACTTATTTTCCCAGACATTTCTCTTTAATGGGGCGCTGGACGGTTTCTCTCCCTGCTCCCTGATCGGCTGCCCTTTCCCTTCCTTCCTTTCAACTCCTTTCTCCTCCTGTTTGACCCCTTTTTTCTCTTCTTCCTGGCTTTTCTCTTCTACTTATTTCTTCTTCCCCTCCTCATATCCTGGATCGCCATGATGTGGTATCTGTTTCTCACTTCGCACCTCCATAGGGGACATGTAGTTGCGTCAGAAGAGTCCTAAAAAGAGAAGGAATCGCAGTGACGGCTGCCATAGTATGGAGAAGAGAACAAAGGGGTGTGTACATTGGGTCGCCATCCATGATGGAGGCTCCGCACAAGAGTCAGTCAATGGCTTGACCCCGTTCCACTACCTCCTATCACTTAAGACTCTACCTAATTGATCTAAATCAACTTCCCTTTGACTTCTCTTCATTTTTGAACTACCAGACTACGGTAGATGTCGCAAACAGGATGGTGTGGCCCGGTGACACTACCAAAGCTGGCCCTCAAGAGGTCTAGGTCTTTTGCCACACGAACTACAACGCGCAAAAAGTATACGTCAACTACCTGTCTCTCACGCCCTACGTCTCCGAAGAAGTTGAGCACATGCTGATATGCCAGCTCACAGGCCAATAGAAGAGTTATTTTACAAGCGGCCCAACGCAGCTACTGCGGTTTCTGATGTCGACTGGTTTGCGCACATCAGCCTACGTCTTCTCAAGTTGACCTCATGCTGATCGGTACCAGCCCTTGGGGCTAGACAGGTTTTACGGGCGCCTGCCACTCGTGCATGTGCGGCCACTCTATGATGTCAGATCACTTGGCAAGTTGACCTACCTATCTATAACATTCACAACATATCTGACCAACCAAGACTTATTGACAACAACAAAAAACTGACAACAGTAGCTCAAGTCACCAGGAATACACCAGCACCATTCCAGCATCGAAGGGCAACAGTGCGCACACATGCAAGGCTAGGGTTAACATAGGCACTTCACTGTAAGCTTGATGACAATTGATCCCTCCATGCAATTTCAACAGTAAGCTTCTGTCCTCAGTTGACCTCTTCTTCGACAGTCCACCCACCTCCTCACCAAGCAACCCTAATCGTTGATCGATTCGCCAAACACCACTCACTCCACCCCTTAAACAACACAGAGCTCTCAAACACCCGCCGGCTATATTGCTATGTCAGCTTCTCCCCTACGCACCTGGCAAGGGAGACAACAAGAGTCCACTTTGATACAAATTGCACCGATCTCATGACTTCACACTGCTTCTCGCAACATCACACGTTTACACTCCAACGTGCAAAGCTCCACACAGGACATGCAAACCAACACAATATGAGCACACTTTGTACATCGATTGAAAGCTCGAAGTTCTCCACAACAAAGTCACATGAGCATACAGTCCGGCAGCTATGGCCGCCGGCAACTCAAACAGCTCTCTCTCTCTCTCTCTCTCTCTCTCTCTCTCTCTCTCTCTCTCTCTCTCTCTCTCTCTCTCTCTCTCTCTCTCTC